CTTGAGCACGAATAAACAGGAAAATCAAGTAGCCATCTCGACGACAGTATTCGGTTTCAAATTGTTCTAGAAAAGGATGCATAGTTCACAACCAGTTGCTAGAATTGCAGTTACAGTAATTTACCAGCAAAAAGAGCTATATCTTCTCGCTTTACATCGTTCATAATAAGGTGTTTTCGAATGCTGTGTAGCCGTTTTAGTGTCGTTGACGATATCAGGGTACTACAAATTCCATAAACTGTACAGATTCCAATAAAAACTAACCAGTACCCAAATATCAAATAGATGATTGCCAAGTACATGTTTAAGTGGAACACGCACTCAGCATGTATAGCGAATGCTGGACTCCTGCCCCCGACACTAAAACCTGCAAAAAGAAAGAATAGAAAATAAAATAAAACTTCGAATACAGTTTCTTGTTATCCGTGGACCAGAACTACTAACACGTTGTTAAGGAGTACTTACCAACCCGTTCTGTTTCAACTAGACAATAAATCTTTGTAGGAAAATTTTTCGTGAGCCAATCCAATGTATATAATCGAATGCCGAATAAGATGTGTAATAATGTTAATTAGCCGACAATATTGATCAAATTCAATAATTTGATAAACAAATAACTAAAAAGGAGAAACCCATTAATCATGTTTATGGATACAAAAATTAAGGTGTAAATCATAGATTAGGAGTTAGACAAATGTTTAAATAATGAGCTGAGATGTTTGTCCACTCGAACGGGATGTGATTTAGAAAAGTCTATAACGGAAAAAAGTTCTTAATATATTACCAGAGACACAATAGGTAGCCATTTTTGTGTATAGCCGTAAATGGCCGTTTGAAGACACCGAGTGTTGATTGTCGCCGGTAATCACCATATGGTTGAAAATATGAAATGTGACGATGTATTTGATCAGCTGCATCTTGAATAATGTCCAAGCGTTGAGATTTTGTAACATTAACCATGGATTGTTTGGATAATAAGCTCCAATTCATTCCGATTGTTGATGATATAAAATCCCAAACGATGGATGGTATCCAAAAACATAACGTCATCCCCAATAAACTTAGATATGTCCATTGGTGATACGAACTAAAATCAGAATAGAAACGTATAAGCTAATGTGCTATAATAACATGCTTAGATCAAACTCGAAAGTACGACTTGTAGAAAAAACTGGAGCAGGAATGTTCTCTTCTATTTCTAGAGATAGCGAACGTTCACAAATGTCTCTTAATCATTAGCAAAGCGTTTTGTTGACGAAATTAACATTACATTCCACTTTATCAGAAGACAAAAGTCGTGAAAGTATAGAATCAGAAAGGGGAAATGTAAACTAAATTTTGCCGAGCAGTTAAGATTAAAATAACGGACCACTTACCCAGTTTTAGTCAGCCAACATACACTATTTAAATAATTTACAGTCATCTTATCCGGCAATTCCTTTGAATAACATTGAATTTGTGCTCCGAATAACGTGGTGGATGATATGATAAATAATACGCAGAGCAGTATGGCTGTTGAATATGTATGATCTAAATAGTGATGAATAATGTAAAAAGAGTTATTGTTTGAGATGCATCAAACCAAATGCAACTTACTTAATTTATCATATTCGTCCTCGTTACATTTTGTTGACGACGCGATCGATTTTACAGTTTGTAATATTGTTGCCATGCTGCTGGAATAAAGAAATTCATCTTTTTACACTGTGTGAGTTTATTAGCGAGTGAATAACTCTGCACAGTTCAATGTACAGCTTGAATAAAATAAGACTGGATTTGTACCGTAACTATTGTCCGTTTAAAAAGTCCGTGCGTGCGACCATTTTTTGAATAACTTTTGGCAGGCATGAGGTAAAGATCTACGATTTTCGCCATTCGAAAGAGGATACTTGAAGGCACGTTTTCATAACCGGTGTTGGTTTCAGAGCAGTTTTCTGAAACAGGTTTTCTAGGAGATCTTTGGAAAACTAGGCAGTCTGTAAAAACTTTCCAATAGGATTGTATTGTTTTTTGTTCACGGGCTGATAGCTCTGAGTGTCCTCTCGAAAATCCGAGTAAAGTGAAATCTTGATTTTCCGCGGTTTGGGCGTTGTATCGGATATCTTACGAAGTCAAAGGACTGGCAGCCGGTGACTATTGGTAGCCTTAAAAACCGATGGACTATGGGTAATCGACCATCCTGAGCTTCGTGGATATATTTGTTTTTAGAAAAACTTTTAAAAATACCGAAAATCCAGTTTTACGAAAATTAAGTTTTCCAGACTGCTTTCACCTAATATTAAAAAATTCACTCTTCACTCAAAAAACATTAGAACAAGCTTAAAACCCCAGGATATGATTAATGTTGTCCGCTAAACGTGATTATAAGATTGAGAAAATCTAAAAGCATATTCTTGTTAATAGATTTTCCAGAAACCCTTTTGGAAAATTTCTTTGGGGATCTCCTATAAACAGAATATAGAACAGCTTAAATACTCTACATTCTGAAGTGTTGAGGTCCTACTAATGCTTTTTGAGTG